CAAGTTATTGGAGACAAAATTTAACTAAAGTTTTAAATAAAGCACAATAACCCAGCCACCTCTAAAAAAATTTGTTAAAGATAAAAAAAAAGTAAGGGCCTATCATTTGGATATAATTTATAAATAAACATTATTTCATAGCTAATTTATGTTAAATTTGATCAATTTAAGCCATATAAAGAGTCATAACTTATTGACCCATGTTCATCCCAGTCTAGGATTTGGTACAAATATAAAGGAGTTATATATCTAACTCAGGGTTGTGCATTTGACTGGTAAAATACGTTTCGGTCAATTGACCGATATTTGACAGGTCAAATATGGTCAAATACGGTCAAATTCAAATATATGTTTTTTTAAGTTAATATTAACTTTATTTTGAATATAATAGTAAAATGAATCTATAATATTAATTTTTAAAATTCATTGTCATTCAATAACTAACATGTAGCTATCTGTAGCAGAGTTTTGTTCTAATCTATATTCAATATTATCATTTTCTTTAATATTTTTTAATCAATTTTCCTGATGTCTTAGATTTTCAATCGATTTCTATTTTCATAAGAATATTAACCCAAATCGACCTTTTTCTTTCTAAGGGAGAAGTAGAACTAGGAATTGTTAGTCTCTTAATGGGCAGGATGGACAAAGTTTAATCTATTAACTAGGTCGGAATTGATTGTTTCTGGAAATTACTTTCCACATAATTTGCTAATTAAACATGCTGTTTTTGCTTCTGAAATTAATTATATCACTTAAAATATTTTGGTCATCACAACCTTGTAAAATAGCTAATTCTTGAATTATATCACATACTTGTGAGTTTTCCTCTTGATATTGTGGACACAAAAAATAAGCAAACATCGTTTTTCCCTTTTTTAAACATATTTTTAATTTATTTTTCCTTTAAATTTTTTAGAGTATTTGACAGGTCAAATACTTCTAGGGTCAATTGACCGGTCAATTGACTGAATTTGACTGGTCAATTGACCGACTTGCCAACCCTGCTAAATACAGGGAAAAAATTTTGAAAAAAATACTTTTTTTCTATGGCTATTTCCGGTTTTATACATCCAGTTTTCAACATTAATCAGATTTCTATTATATTTATTTTTATGTCATATTAAAGAACTATTATTAAGCTACATAATAAAATTCAAATTATTTCTCGAGATATTTGGAAATAAATGAGGTACATTTTGTCAAAAATGTACCATTTTTCGGCGCTTTAAACGCCCATATCTTAGCGGGTAAACAGTGTTGGAAGATAAAATTTCATTTTTTTCTTAGTTATAGTATTTACTACCAGTATGCAAAATCTAAGAAAAATTAAAAGGGGTTTGGTTGAAACATTGATGATTTGATATGAAATTCACCTTATATTATGATTTTGCTATCAGCTGTATATGCTCTTCTTTGGCTTGTAGGTGTGGAGTGTCGTAATCACTTATATTTAGTTGTTCAGTGGCGTATCCAAGATTTTCTTATGGGGGGTGGTTTGAATTTTTTTTTTTGGGGGGGGGGGAGGGTGCCTTCGGCCAGGTCTTATGTTTTAGCTATTCCATTAAATTATTCATAATTTAATAATAATTATATTTCTATTTGTAACTATTATTTACTAATTGGTGTTAATGGATATTACAAGCCTATTTTTTATTATTTTTAGTTAGGTATATTATATTTAATAAAGTTTTTTAAATGTAAAGTTGAAATAAAGTTTAATGTCATTTTTTTTATAAAATTTGCTTTAAAAACTAGCCTCAGCTTAAATTCTCATACAATATAAGTATAATATAATTTTTTTATTGAAAATACTAATAGTGGTGTGTATAAAATATTAATGTTGTTAAACGGCTCATTTTGAGCCGATTTTTAAAAATAGGCTAACTCAATATTTTCGCCAGAAAAATATTAACTAAGCCTCGAAATTTCGATACTATATGTCAAGACCTTTGCTTCTTCTATGAACAAAATTTTCAGGCTTGCTAATATTTTTCTGGATAAATAACTGAGTTAGCCGTTTTTAAAAATCGGCTCAAAACGAGGCGTTTAACAAAACTATAAAATATTGACTAGAAAATAATTTAAAAAACAACTTCTTATCAAATACATAATTATACAAAATTTTTTATTAAATACTATAATTATAATGTGATTTTTAATTTTCGTGGGAATGTTGCCAATTCATCAAGAATTTTGTTTGTCGTTGGAACCAAATCTCTGTGGATATTTAACAGAGCTAACCCATTTAGCCGAGATTCGGAAGTAGTATTTCATAAATATGTTTTCAAACTTCTTAAGTTGGAAAATCCTTTCATTCGTACATGTTATAATAGGCAAACATGGTAGAATATAAAACAACTTCAAAATATTAGAAATTTGAACCAAGGTTTCTTTACACCGATTGAGCGCATCAATAGCATGCTCAGGTAAAATAGCTAAACGTAGTAAATATTTATACCACAATTCGAATTCACTGATTAAATTTATTTCAGTATCAATATCATAGGAATAAAATTTTGCTAAATATTTAATTTTACCAATAGTGGCATTAGAAAACGAAGATGGATTTTTGGGTATATTAAAACTTGAAGATTGCTAAAGACTTGTATCTAAAAACCGTACTTTTAATTGCGATAAAAAAGTATCTAAGAATGGGATGAAAGTGGATATTTTATAATATTCTTCAGTTGAGCCAATATTTATTTTACATCTCAATAATTGCCCAGGTGCTAGATGAGGTTTAATTAGTGTTATATCATAAAATTTAGCCTTCGATTCAACGTCTATATAAATATTATGAAAATATTCATCTACATTCATTCTTATTGTATCTACCTGTTCATATATATTTTCCGCCAAATCAATAACCTGAACCAAATCTAAATTTAGTTTTTGTAAATTTCTACAAAGTAGTGAGCTAAAAATAATATTGATGCAACTAGCAGCAATGATAAACTCTGATTGATCAATTGAATTCAATAATGATATCGCTTCTGACGACACATTACTTTTTTTCATGCTCAGCCTTATTTAACTTTTGTATTTCTATTTCTTCTGTTCTTTGAAGTAAAAATAAAATATTTAAAATATTATAGATATTTTAATAATTAATATTAAAAAAAAATACTTATTAATTCTAACTTACCAATAATTTTGAATTTAATAAAATATTTATACATAATAATAAAATAAATTACCATTTGATTTCAATCTCTTTGACTTAAAATTTTTCCATTTTATTAATATTTTTGAATAATGTTAATGTACTCACAAGGAAAGGAAATTTTAATAAAATTTATTTATAAAAAATAAGTTTTATGTTGGAAAATTGATATTCAAATATTTGTAAAATTTTGATTGGGAGAGGGGGGGGGGAAGGGTGGAGGGTAAAAATACATTTTTATTATATATAAAATGTAATCACTTATGATTTTAAGATATTAAAAATTAAATATTTATTTAAATTGACCCCGTTCGAAAAAAGAATTTCTTTTAACAATTTATTTTATTGTATTTTTATTATTACTAAATTCCGAATAAGAAACTGGCTCCTCAAAAATCAAATTTTTTCATAATAATTAAAATTTATAATTTAAAAAACAACAATTACTTAGTTTTGAAATAAAATATCATATTTAGTCATTGATTTACATTTTTTGGTTTTTAAAAAGTCTATGGAGGTAAGCGTGTAAGTACGGCGGATTGCTATTAGGGCAACTACAATTCCTATGTTATTGATATATGAATATAATTTATGTTCATTAGGTAGAATTAAAAAGGATGGAGAGGTAACTTCCACTTCTTTCACTATTTCATTTATAAATGTTACCGTACAAACAAGTTACATAACAGTTACATAACTATAATTCACTCGAAATCTCGTATTTTGATAAGTAATAATTTTCACTTTATTTGTGAGCCTTTGAATAAATTTTTGTTATAATAGTTCTCAGACCTAGTGGAATAACCACGTGTATATTTTGTGTGCCAGTTATTGCGTGTGCTTTACTAAGTTAAAGTGGAAAATATTACGTATCAATCAAGATACGAGATTTAGAATGAATGATATTAATTGCATAACATGTTTGCATGATAAATTTTGGTGGCTGTTGTAGGTATGAAATGGCCAAAGAAAAGAAAGGTAGCTTTCTGCATCTACATGGACCCTCTCCAGCTTTCATTTTCCATCTAATAAAGATAAATGATTATATACATCTGTCAATGACATTGTAGAAATTGTACAAAAGAAGGGGCTGCTTATATCCACGTTTAAAACCACAACAAAATGGAAATCAGTGACTAAATAAATTTATTTCAAAATTAAGTAAATGTTGGTTTTTTAATTATATGTAGAAAATAATTTACTTTTTTAACACATCACCATCGACAATGCCTTTTTTATCGATATAAATAACTAAAAAAACAATGGTTATCCAAACCTAATTTTTTCAGCATCAATTGATTTAATAAACATATATACCAATTTGTAGAAAATTTTATGCTCAAGTAAATGTTAAAATATCAACCTTTACCTTTCCCGAAATAAATAAACACCTGAGATTTTTTTATATTTAATTACGGATTTAAGGACTATATAATGATACCAAATATAGGTCTCTATCATTTATATTTTTGAGTAATGTTTATTTATATCGGTTTTGTCGAATTAGAAAGGGAGTCCATTTTTATCTTTGATTCGCCATATCTCCGGATCTAATTAAATTAGAGCTTAAAAAATTTAATTGTACAGGTTTTCACAACATATATAATCATACAAAGTGTCATTCGATTAAAAAAAGTCCATGAAAATGACCCTTTTTTGATCGATTTTTCAAAGTTGTCTTTGTCCTTCTTAATTAATCTTTTAAAGTTAATTTGCGTTTTCAAGACCTTAAAAAAAATTAATTACTAGTCAAGATTAAATTTGATATATATAAATGGAGGCTTCTCTATATTTTCATTTCAAAAATATATAGCATTTATTGAAAAGTAATTACTTGTCCAGTTAAGGTTATAGCATTGGGTTGGCACTTGGTGCATATCCCCTTAGGCCAAGGTTTGTGTTCTTTGCAACCAGGTTTTATTTTGCAAGCTATAGGTTCAAGAATCAAACTTTTGTTCCTGTCATCATAAATATATATTTTATTCTTTCTTTTTTTCTTTGGATTATGAAATAATTATAAATTCTCAACTTTATAGGAGTTTTCAAAAATTCATTGTTTTATTTTATAAGTTTTCAAATGAAAAATTGATATCATATAAGACCACGTCCTTTAAACCATGGCTGTGAACTCTCCAAGAGGGGTTCGACGAAAATCCGAATGAGCATTTGGTTAAGCTTTAAAGGGCATAAAAATAAACGCTTAAAATTTATTTAACTAACATAACACAAGGTTTTTAAAATATTAATTTTATCAAATTCTTCATAAATAAAATTTATCGCCATAGCCAACAAAAAATAATATTATATTTTAATAAATCTATTTAAGCAAATGATAATAATATCTCCCAAAATATCTTCATCAAGACTTTCATGTTTTAGCAATATGTAGACCTGTGCGCCGACGAAACTATCGGCGGCCGGCGATGCGCCGATTTTTAGCCGCCGTCAACAAAAGCGGCGTAAATCGGCGAAGTTATGAATTTATAACATAAATTTTTTTAATTGCTTAATAATTTTTCTTTTAAAATAATAAACATAGATACAGATATCAACATATTTTTTATTCTTTATTTAGAAAACTCATTATAAATCCAAAATCGATTTCGTAATTTTATAATTATCATGTATAAAAATTATATTTTCGGGACATGATGATTTCCTTGAATTCAACGTCAATCTAGCGGTAGAGAAAACTCTTTCATTGGATGTGCTAGTCGCCGGAATACAAAGAATTATTTTAACGAGTCTGGAAAGATAGGGAAGTTCACTCTTCTTTCCTCTCCAAAAACTTAGAATATCCATATATTGTGAATGTCGTTTTCCAAGAAGAATGTGGCATTCTTGTTCTAAGTCACCTAACGTGGAATCATAATTTGTATTTTGTTGAATGTTTATTTGCCAATTTTGTCAAATAACTTGAATTTAAATTCCTCTTGATCCTCAATAGCTATATTTGTACCTGAATATCATCATTCTCTATAGGTTTAAGATGTTATATTATAAATTCTGATGCTGAGCAATTTTGCTCTATTATATACTTTGACACAATTGTTGAAATCTTGGATCTAAAAGAGAAGCTAATACCTAGATAATTTTTTAAATAAAAAATAAATTAATGCTAAAATGTTGTTTGACAAATGGTTACAATTAAATTTTATCTATAATATTTTTATTAAAGTTTCTTCTTTTAGTTTATAAAAAATAATGATTTGTAATACACTTAAAGCTTAACATATAATGAATAAAATAATATAATTCTACCCAATTTTTCCAAGAATATTTGTGGTTCAGTGAAGCCAAACGACTTTTTTTTGGTCATTTCGACGTTACACAAATATATTAATTTAATTTTTTTTTGAAATTTTAGATTATTTAAAATTTATTAAATTTCTTAAAATATTTTTTTTTTATCTTTTAAAAGTTTATAGAAATTTGACAGTTTCTTTAAATTTTGAAAGAAATGCTAATAGTTCTTCTACCAGATCAGATTCATAGTTTAATAGTTTGAGAAAGTGTTTCCCAATTCTTTTCAAAAGATTATTAATTAAATTCTTATTTAATCCAATAGGTTTTCTAGCATAATTAATATATTATGCCAACGTGTTGGGGCATTTAATTTTAAGGTTTTCATATGCGTGGAATTATTATTATTATCATTGGTATTGCCAATTTAAAAATGGGTATCTGGGTATGGATCAGTGCTATCAAGATCTAACATGTCTGATGTTAAATCTATTGTACTTAGGCATTTTCTTTGTTCTGCCTTGAATTCAAATTCAACCTCTGCAGTTTTATATCTTAGAGCAGTAATAATTTCTCAATTCTTTTGATGGGGATTTCAACAAGGTGAATTTTTTAACTATCTCCAGATTGTGTAAACCATGACCCAAACATAAGTGGTGTTCATATTTACCTAATCGAACACCTTTTCTAACATTAGGCACAGCATCCATTCTTCTTTTTTCCTTTTTTAAATTCCTCTTCTATTTTATCAATCTCAGTTAGAATAGTCTAACCTGTTTTATGGGTCATATAATGAGTTGCTAAATTAAAGTAAATCATTTCAAAATTATCATTTATTAAATGAAGTGTAAATGTAATATAGTTTCTTCTTCTGTATTGATCTGTCCACATATTGAATGTAATTGAGCAAAATTTTGGCCCTGAGTTAATTTGTTCTTATACATGTGCATATTGATAGGTAAACATCATTAAGAGCAGTACGGCTTAGTGTTGTTCTGTCAGGAAAATCAGTATTAGAATTGATAACTTAATATTTCTAAAATAAGTATTTTGAAATTTATAACAGAAAATCATTTATCATTAATTTATATTAGACAACAAATTTTGGAGAATTTATCAAGAAATAAATTTGTTATAAATTTATTCTGGGTTGTAAAGCTACACAGAAACAGAGATGTTTAGGACAAATGAATATGCAATTATCCAATATTATTTAAATCATTCATGTTTTGTGTAATCATATTGTTAGCATGGCTATGAAATTCAACTATTGTAAACCTTCCTCAGCAGCCAATGCTATTTTACTAGAACAAAAAAGACATAAAGGTAGATCTATTATAGATAAATATATCAATTTTTTTATAAATTTGATATCTTCAAATAATCTTTCACTCCTATATTATCAATTGATTGAAAAGGTAATAAGTCAGCACAACATAATAACACAGTTTCTTCCTAGAAACTATTTTTTAGGATTTAGAATTTGTCTGGAATTTTGGTTTGGATATAAAATATTTTCTTAAGTTTTACGATTTTGATAAAGTATCTTCTTTAATATTATGATCAGAAGTCAAGTGTTTTAACAAATTTCCTGTGCTAATGTTGATTGAAAAGTTTTGAATTTTATATCTAGATTATATTTTACAAAACATATATTTTAATTTATTAAAGAATTTGGCTTAATACGAGAAAATAATATTTAAAAAAAAGACTGTGAAAATGGATTATTTAAATCATTATCGTTTACAATAGCCTTTTCTAAGCAACAATTATAGTAAAATTTGTCAGAATTTATGGAAATTGTTTTTTATTCTCTCTTTTTAAGTGTAAGAAATTAAAAAACTTCCAACCAAATGATTTTTTATTTTTATTATTTACTGTTATAATACTAAAATTATTAATAGATTTATAAAATGTAGATGCATCCTTTTAAAAATATGTAAAATTATGGTAACTTTTGGAATTTTAGATTTTTGATTGATTGAATTCTATAATGACGTCTATATAATTATGATTTTAAAATATATAAAAAAAACAATTAATTAAAACCCTGTTTAGCATTAAAAAAATTAGAACAGTTATGTTGACCAATTATTAGAATAAAAAGGTATATATTTAAAAAAATTCTGCGCCGGCCGTGCGCCGCCGAGATTTTCATAAACGGCGGCGTTTTCGACGTAACCAAAAAAGTCGGCGGCCGGCCAACGACCGACCGGCGCACAGGTCTAGCAATATGTAATTTAATTTTTAAAAAACCAGACCTAGCTGACAGGGGCAGGAGAGTGTTATATTTTATAAGGTTATATTCAACGCTATTTGAATACTATATTTGTCATACAATATTATAATTTTCCTATATTTAATAGTATATTATTAAGGTCAATCTAATTGCATAATATTAGAAGTTAAATTACATAATTATAAAATACTATATATATAGATAAGAATTTAAAATAAAGATACCAATTGTTTTGACTATAAAATTTGGCGACGAGATAAAAAAAATTAGATCATCGGTCAAGTTAAATATTAAATATAATTGTATATTTTTTTTGTTTAAAAAAATATATATATATATATCTTTTTAGAAATTAGGGAAAAAATTATATTAAATGAATTCAAAAAAGAAGAATGTTCTCTAGACGACTATGTAGATTACATTAAATATATGCTGAATGTAAAGAATCATCAAACTGACGCCACTTTGAAAAAATTATTCATAGCTTATGGAGAAATAAATATTATAACTGATATAAAAAAATTACTATTTCTAAGAAAAATTGATGATGTGGTATGGGCAGATCTATACAAAATTGCCAAACAACTTTATAAAGATGAAAGAACTGTTTTGGCATCGAGAATTGATTTCATTAAATTAAGTCACGGACCAACAGAATCCGTATTGAGTTATTTAAAAACTATAAAGGAGCTAGTCTGAAGATGCGAATTCGAAGTTAATATAGAACTAAGAATTCGCGATCAATTAATCGCTGGACTAAAGATGAACTAAATAAAGAACTACGTTTAAGATACCCAGATACTAGAGACCAAAACCAACCGTTAGGCAACAAAGTTACAGAAATAAATAATACTATTAAAATGGTTTATAAAATCAAAGAGACGACTTAACATAAAATAATAAACGATTCAAAAATTATAATAATAATAATTGATAGAATAATGATAATGATAATCGGCAATATCAAAATGACTATAAAACATATGTAAAAAGAAAACCAGTGCAAGGTTATAATAACTACACAAATAATAATAATATAAGAAAACCGTGCTATTTTTGTAATCGTTTTCATGCTATTCGGAATTGTCCAGCATACGGAAAAACGTGCAACAAATGTAAGAAATCAAAACACTTTGCCGTGTGTAGTAAAACTAGAGGAAAGGTTTACGCTATAAATTTCAAGTCGACGACGATTCAAATTTCTCAATAAGAAAAGTCTATAAATGTGGACAGCACCCAACAATTACGGTATTAACCCTTCACTACATAGGTGAAAAAAACTCCCGCGGTTACATAGGTGGGGTCTATTTTACCCCAAATTTTAAATAGCTATATCTCAGAAAATAATAAAATTTAAGAACTAAAATTTTATATACTTATTGTAAAAATATTAGAGATAATAAATACAAAATTTCTAGATTTACATTTATTTCTAAATAAAGTTATGATATATTTACTAAAGCTGCTCAAAAAAAAATCTTTTTTTTGGAACTTTCCTTAATCATATGATATGACCAAAAATAAATGAATGGAAGCAAATTTGATTATATATTTTATTAATTCAATATTTTATAGTAATAATTAAATAAATTTTATAATAAAACATCAGATATTAAAAAAAATATTTGATATTAAAGTTCATGCATTTTTTTTAAAAAAACATTCACGACATGTTACATACATATGATCTTTGCATATTTTTGAACAATTTGGACAAATAAATGAGGATTTCTTGTCCCTAACCCTTGGACAAGAGGAGCACCTTCCTTTTTGTTTGGTTGAAATAGGTTTTAATTCCTCTATATTTAGCATGTTCCCAATATTATCCCTTAGTAGTTTATTAACATGTGGGTTTTCATATCTATTACTCATTAATAGAGTTATTAGCTCCATTGCTAATAATTTTATAAACTTTGATCTATTAATCTCCTTTAAATTATTGGATTTATAAATTATTAAAGAATTTATGCAAGATATATTCAACAAATTATAAAAAATTGTCATAGGCCATCTATTTGTTATTCTGGATATTGAATAATTTGAACATAGCTGATCCACAACATCAACACCAGCTTTGGTAAGATTGTAAAATGTGATAATTTCTGGTTTTTTCAAATCCCCAGTTGATGTATCAATATTGTTATCATAGTGAAGGGTAGAAAGCATCATGCTTATACTTTTTTGGTACATATGATACTAATGTCATATTATCTTAGCAGGCAAATAAACTTGAACAAATATCTCTCTTTTTAAAATTAAATGATGTTGGAAACTGCTATTTATTTTTTCTTAAAGTTCCTACTATTGTTAATGAATAGAAATTTAATAAATGTATAGCAAGTTCATAACTGGTAAACCAGTTATCTGTGGTGACATTCCTATTACTCTTAGAAATGGGCTGAATTAACCTTTCAACCACATCAAAAGGCTTATTTCTCAATTTATAAGGTCCTTCAGGCTGATTGCCAGCATATAATTCTATTTTCAAAGTATAAAATGTCACTAGAATAATTGAAATTAAAAATCATATGTTAAATTTATGATTTTTAACTACACCGAAAAAATAAATAATATAAAATTTTCAAATTTAAAGCCATATATATCAATCAAAAAATAGATATAATTATATTTTTTTCAATTATATTTATTAACCTGACATACATAAATATTAGTAATAAAAAAAAATTGGATTTTAAAAAAAAATTACATCATTACATAGGTGGGGTATATTTTACCCCAAGCTCAACAAATAGCATATATCTCAAAAACTATCAAATCAATAATCATGAAATTTGGAAGTTGTATTCCTTGTTACAAAATATTAAACTACTGAAAAAATCAGGTCGGAATATCTTCTAGCTTTTGTATTATAAAGATTATAAAAGTTGTGGGGTCCTATTTACCCCACCTTTGTAGTGAAGGGTTAATAAACAACCACGAAATTAAAAAGGAATATGATATAGGATGCAACAATATGGAATAAAATAGGGAGGCCAAAACTTAGAATGGTTATAGCTCCAACTTCATATTGAAACAATACAATAAAAATTATGGCAATTAGATGATAAATAAAATGGCCTCCGTTATTAGTTACAACAACAAATGATGCAGTGCTATTTGGATTTCCATGGACTACAGAATTTGATCTATCATTACCAAAAAATGTAAAAAATCAATATGATCATCAATAAATATGATAATAATAATAATGATAATGGTAACGTGAATATTGAAAAACTATATAAAGAATTTGCTACGGTGTTTGATAATAAATGAAGATTAATAAAAAATGTCGAACCAGTAAAACTACAATTGAAAGAAAATACAAAACCAATTGCACTACCAGCTAGAAGGGTACCGTTGCCTTTAAGAAATTGAAAATGAACTGAAACGTTTGAAAAAAAATAATATAATAAAGAAAATAGATCCATCAACAATAAGAGTAACCTGGAGTACTCCAATTATAGTGGTAAGTAAAACTTCAGGTGAACTACCATTATGTGGTGATTTAAGTAACATTGAATAAATTTTTACTAAAAGACTATCACATTCTGCACGTTTGAAGGATTAATAGCAAAAATCGCTAATGGAAATAAGTATACAACATTAGATCTAAAAGACGCATATCTACAAATGAGCATTGACGATGGCCAAATGGATACTAAGGCTATTTACGATTATTTTTTGGTATAGGTACAGCACCAATAATATTTCAACAATATATGGACGATTTACTGGCTGACGTAAATATACAGCAGTTTATTTAGATTTTATAATCACAGGAAAAAATGATACATAACATATAGAGAATATAAAACAAGTCCTCAAAAAATTATAAAATGCGGGATTAAAAGTCAAAACAAGCAAAATAAATTTTAAGAAAGAAAAAGTATCATATTTAGGATACATAATAGATCATATGGAATACACCCCAGATAAAATGAATAATAGCAATACAAAAATATCCAACTCTAAAAGATAGACATAACATAAAATCATTTTAAGGTATATTAAACTATCATACATGGTTCATTCCAAACTTATATGGAATTATAGCCGAATTACATAATAAAACTAGTAAAAATGTTAAATGGAATTAGATTAAAAAAGATGATACATTATTTGAAAGAGCAAAAGGAATAGTAATAGAACAAAATACTATACAGTTTTATAAACCGGACCTCGAGTTAATATAAGAAAAAGATGCATCTAACCAAGGATTTGGAGCGGTACTCCTGCAAAAATATGATAATGAAAAAGAATTTCCAATACTTACACCTCAAGAACTTTACAAGACGCTGAAAAGATTTATTGTACAATAGAATCTAAAGCAATAATAAACGGCGTAGAAAAATTTAATAAATATTTATATGGACGAAAGTTTAAAATACGGACGGACCACAAACCTTTAATAAAGATATATGGTAATAACAGATTTAAGCTCATTAACAAACTAAAGATTATTACGTTGAGCTTATAAATTATCTGCATATGATTATGATATAATGTACAAGAATGGTGCTAATAATATAATTGCATATGCTTTATCGCGAAATCCAATAGAAAAAAATGATGATAGAATAACAAGCGAAAATAATACAGTGAAATATATAAGAAATCTTACTTATGACACATTAACTCTATCTAAAAAAGAACTTAGAGATGAAACCGCGAATGATCCCATTTTAAGAAGAGTAAAAATATTAATAAATGGTACAAATATACAAAATAAAGCCAGAATTACAAGCTTTTAGAAGAATAGATAAAATAAAAAATGATGACGGTATTTTCTTTTGGAATGACAGATTAATCATACCGTACTCACTTCAAAAAAAAGTTTTACATATATTGCATATGGAACATCCGGGTAATGAAATCTATTACGAGACATTATATATTGTGGGAACAATTAGATAAAGATTGTCGAAAAACTAGTTAACAAAGGCTTCGTTTTTATGGGGGGGGGGGGCTTGCATGCCCCTTTTGTTACAGATTTTAAGCCCGTGGCGACCAGGTTTCCTTTAATGGCGTATTCCTATTTTACATTGTTTCTATCATTTCTTATATTTTTGAAAAATATCTATAAAAATTGTCTTTCCATAATTCAATTTATTACATCATTTATAATTTATGATCAAATTATTTTCCTATATATTTAATGAATATTAATAAAAAAATATGTTCAATAAAGATTAGAATTCTTGAATATATAAATTAGAATCCTATATTTTTGATATATATCACGACCATGTGGGCAAAATACCTACTTGGACAGGGCATTGCAAGTCCCAACATATCAACATCTATTCATAAAACTATTTTTATTGATTTGATGTTTTTCTTATCTTCGGTATTATTTAATTTAATAATAGAAATAATAGGACTGGCTTAGATTTTTAAATTATCATTTTAAATAATTTGGGCTGCATATTTTAAAGGGTCTCAATAGGAAATAAAAATATGAGAAGAAAGTGAATTTTAAATGATTCACTAAGGGATTTTACATTGTTTAATTCATATCACTTAAATTTATTTTATCCCTAGCCGGGTTCATATTTATTTGGTCTGACTTGGGTTTGCAACTTTTTTTATAAAGTCCAGCCCTGATTTGAAAAATCATACCATCAGTCCATTCCAGACAGGGCCTAGTCTCTTATTTATATATTAAATCATCAGTATAGAATTGGAGTGCTCCACTCAACATTTTCAAAATTTTTGAGTTAGAAGTGGATAATATCTTATTTATTACCAATATATATAAAAATATAAACTAGATTAAAAAATTTTAATTTTGCATGTCAAAATTGATCAATAAGCTTTTCCTTATTTGATTTTAAACTTTAATGTTGATTTCCTTCTCATTTTAAACATTTGCGCAAGTGAAGCACTCTAATTCTAGGCCGACAAAATAAGATATAAAAACAAAATGGAGGTAAAAAATTTAAATAATTTAAGAAATAATTCCATAAAAATAAAATTCTATGAAAATATTTTTCTAGAAAAATAACCCAAGACCATAAACCCTATATTTTTAAAAGGTTTGAGAATGCTAAAATTATGAGTGTTCTGAGTTATAGAGTTCAGGTCCACAGCCCGGTTTAAAACTTAATTACCTTATTATAATTATCAAATACATAAGAGGCTAAATACATTGCATTTATTAAAAATAATTGTATGAAAAGTGATCATTACTTGTCTCCTGCCATCAATTTACGTAGATAAGAATGAAACGACATATATTTAATAGGAGGAATATGATTCTTCATATAGTTTTCGTCGTAAGGCTAATTTAATCATTTGTTTTATGTAAATTTTAATTATTGGTATGTAGAATGTAATGTATCACGTTAATTCGGCGCTGATAATTCAGTGTGAGAATTCGGCTCAATGGTAACAATCAGGCGCAGCGAAAAATCGATGTAACGACAATTCGCCGCAAATCTAATTAAGCAACGATTTATTTAAAAATCATAATTTTGAAAAAATTGATTGGCATTTATAATATTATAGGGTGTGTTGATGGTTGAACGTTAGTCCTATTAATTGAATCCTGGACATAAATTTCCTGAACAAAAATACCAAAATTTTAATTTGAAAAATAATTAATTTTATTAGAAATCATATCTACTTCGTTAAAATCTAACATATATATAGGGCTGTTGAGCAGCGCGAAGCAGCAAATAAGTATTTATTAATTTTTATAGAACTAAGTTCAGGCTAAGGTATGATACCAAGCTCGTGGACTCGGTTAGCTTAGGTCTATAAACAAAGATAAGGATTAATGTTTTTAATAAGAAATATTAATTTAATTAGACAACTAACTCCCTGCATTCGGTAATATTTAACAGATATAAAGCTACTCACCAATAAGTATCTATTAGTTTTTACTGAACTATGCAATTCAAGGTCTGATATCAAGGACGTAGAGAGCGTTAACGGTTAGCTTAGTATTATGCAACAAAAGTAACGGTTAGTGTTTAAATTAGATGAAAAGAAATACAATTTTTATTAGACACCGCAATAGATTCTGTAAGATCTAACAGATACTTAGAATGGTGTAGAATAAATAAATAAAAAATCCTCTTGCTAAGAATATAAAAAATTTATTAAAATTTGAGTATTTTTCTCAGTTGTTTCTTGTCCGAGTGTATTTTTAACTAATTTTTTTCCGAGGATCTTTTTGTCCAAGACATTTATGTCCGATATTCATTTAATAGGACAAACGTTCAACTATCTATTTTTTTAAATGCCAGATAATAATCAATTTGTTTTTATATTAATAAAATGATGATTTATAAATAAATCGTAACTTAATTAAATCCGTGCTGAATTATCGGAGCCTAGTATTCCATATAGAAATGTCCTGCGCCACTTTAAGTTTGAATAAAACATTTAATGAAGAGTTTTTAAAAGATTAAGATAAGGTAAATTATAAAATAATCATTTTTGTGGATTTCATAATTTCAAAAAATTATTATATTATTTGAAATTTTTTCAAATAAACTAATATCCATGCTGATAGAACTAGTTAATGTATGTGGCCCAATGGTCTTATTTACATACAGATATTATAGCCATTAGGCCAAATCTTTGATTTTGAGTCTGGTATCACATTATATTTAACCCATTAATGGTCAACGTACCAAATCTGCAACAGTTGTTATCTATTGATTGATTTTCAATTTTTTTGAATTGAAATAATTTCAAAAGCTTTATGATTGTACTATAACATAAAAAAAACATTTTTTAAAAAATATTTAGGTTTGTGCTAGATGCCATTGAAGTTCGACAATTTTAGACTATAAAATGCCATAAGTTCTAGACTCCCTCGTTGAAATAATACTTTTTTTAATGCAATTGACATAAATTTATTTTTTAGAGATACTTTCTTCTTCTTCTCTATATGATTTCTTATAGATGCCTTAACTTATTCTAATTAATTTTGGCCCATCATTCTATCTATTCTCAGATTTATAATCATGTTTTTTACTGTACCATTTATGCAACGTTGACTACATAAGGGTTCAAAAAAGGTAAATTTTCTAGAAAAAATTATATAAAAAATTATATAAAAAATTAGCATAATATTTTATTATAAATTTTTGTTTATATTATTACTAAACAAAAATACTATTTTTTCATCATAATATTTTTTATTTACAAAAAAACCCAGAAAATTCAATTTTATTGTTATTCTCATTATATTTTTTCATTTAAATATAAAATTTATTTGTAAATTATTTATTATCATCTTATATTTGCCAAAATAATATTAAAATGACAAAACAATTTTTCACAGTTGTTGAAGCCCTATCCATGCTTTTCGATGAAGGCGTTTATAAAACCGATGCTGTAATTATACCTCCTAATGCTGTCTTAGTTAGTGATGAATAAGATTTCGATGAAAACGATCTAACTGACACCTAATCTTCCAGGGGGATCAAAATTCAATATTCAGCAGACATTGATATTGTCTCAAAACCCTAAAGCAAATAAAATTTTCAAAATAATTTAAAATGTAGAAAAATTGATCCTATTTACACATCAAAACCTACTGATAATGATAATGAATTATTATCGAATTTCGATCGGAAAAACTACAATAGAAATATTTTAATTAATTTTTGATTAAGAAATGTATTCACTGCTTGTGGATCAATCATATAATTACAAACAAAACAACAGACCAAATTATTATAAAAGAATCAGATATGAAAAGATTTATAGGAATTCTTTTGCTGACTGAATATCATTCCTTACTACAAGAAAGAATATATGGTCGAATGACAAAGATATTACTATAGAAATCGTTAGGAATTCAATGACACAACATACATTTCGCGATATCAAAAGAAATCTACATTTATCTAATTACTCAACTTTTGATGAAGAGATAATCTTTATAAAGTCCGCCCATATTCAAATTTACTAAATAAAAGTTTCACCAATTCGGTATATATTTACATAATTTATGCAAAGATGAGCAAGATAACTTATCGAGGAAGACATTCCTGTAAAATGTTTCTTAGGTAAACCCATTTGATTTGGAAATAAATCATTAACCCTTACTTCCTTCGATGGATATATATTTGCATATATATATATCAAGGTAAAAATAAAAGGCAAATGGCTTCGAATCTTGGATTAGGAGGTACGGTTTATACAAATAAGTATCTTCTTTGCATTCTATTTACTTCGATAACTTATTTTACATCTCGAAGGCTTTAATCGTATTTGAAGCATCTTGGATTTTTCGCAACTGGTACTATAAGAGAAAATTGACTTAAAAATTCTCCCCTAGAAACAAATAGTTATAGCAAAAAAAAAGAAAGGAGCTATTAAGACTACCGATATGAAAAGATATATGAAATATTTGTAGTTCGGTGGAATGATAGTTCAGTGGTGACAGTTGCATCAACATGTAAAGCTCTTAGCCCGCTATGCAACGTATCAAGATTCTCTCGAAAGATTTTCTCAAAAATAATTATTACAACCTAATCTTATAAATTCCTAAAATTCACATATATGGGTAGCGTTTATCTATGCGCCTAGTGTCAACATATAAAATAAATATATGAGGTAAAAAATGGTGGTGGCCTAAGAAATTTTATTGATCTAGCAATAGTTAATTCAAGTTATGGAATCGAGTGAATCTTGATGATAAAAAATCATTACTAACATTTCAAAGGGAAATAACTAAGACACTTTTGAAAACTCCCCTGGTAAATAAAAATATTAGTACAAGTAGAGACCATCCTAGTCAATTGTCCAAACTTCCAAACTAAGTGAAACACCTGAAAATTCATGATCATTATGTTACATCGATAGCAAAAGGCGACGTTGTAAGTTTTGTCATAGTGAGACAAGATATATATGTAACATGTGTCAAATATTAATACGATTGTTTTAAAAAAATTTGATTAAATATAAAAATTCAAAATTGTATCTTATAAATATAAAATTAGTTAATAAATTTTAAACTATCCAGGGCAGTAGCCAGGAATTTTCAGCTATGGAGCCAGCTGCTTACTTAGAGGGGGGGGGGCACTATTTTTTAAAATAAAACAAATATTTAAGCATTCATAGAAATTTTTTATACGACGATTTTTATTTTTAAATTTTAACATAAATGAATTAAAGGATAAATTTTGTGTTATTTTTTTCCATTAGCCATCAATACTAAATTTTGCTTACGTTGATCTTTCACGACTCTCTAGTACTCGATAGAACTCTCTTTAGTGTAGAGAACGAGGCCTCACAAGAAGCCGTTGATACCCCAATGATGATGGATGCTGAGTAGCAATTATACAATTTAAATGCATAATGATATTTTTTTATACATAATATTTAGGATATTTTTAAAATAATGTGTTTCTTTAACTTCTGCAGCTAATAATCCTTTAGCTCTTCATGATATAAAATTTCCATATTTAAGCTTAATAATGATTCTAAGGGGGCCATTTATCTGATAAAAAATAATCAAGGTCAAAGAGGGGACAATGTATTAAAACATGATAGAAAATTATAATCATCTTGTGTAAATTTATCTAAAAAACGATCAACAAAGTAATCAATAATTTCATAATAATTCCTTTTTAAAGAATTTCAATTGGAGTCTTTTTCACAATCAAATTGTAATTTGGTCTCGACTAAAAAATCTTGAAATTTATAGGCATTTTAAGTACCCTTGAGGATTTTTGGGGAGTGAGGCTAATATTTTATCAGCTTTAAATAAAATCAATTGCCTGCATATTTACAGGATACGTTAAAGCGCCTATTATACAACGCATTGGATAAATTAAAAAAAATAACAATATTATTATACCAATTTTAAACCATAAGATGCAACATGTGTTTGTAGCAATGTATAAAAGAAACTTTTTTATTAATTTTTTTTTGAAGTAGGATTTGCACTCCTTCATTTCGGCCAGACATAACGTCTGCCCCATCATATGCCTAGCTTATTATATTCGTTGAATTAATATTTAACTCATTAAGTTATTTTAAAATGCAATTAGTAATGCTTTCAGCAGAAAGATGTAAATTAATAATTCCTATTAAATTTGTTTGGACTTCTCCAGAAAAAATATAGCAAATAATTACGCTCAAATTTTCACAACCTTATGCAGCATCTATTGTTTCATCAGTCTTAAGACAAAAAAATGCATCTCACTTATGTTATATTTATCTGAAATATATTTCTGCCATAATAGATATTACTTCGTTTTGAATCTGGGGTGGGCATTTTTGGGTATAAATTTCATAATTTTATATAATTCAGGAT